ATGAATAAAGTGCTTACTTCAAGAGGGAAGAACTCCAGGGCACAGTCACAATCCAAACAAAGTAAAACTAAATAATGGAATGTGCACTGTCTGGGATCCACTCAGGATCTTTCCTAAACCTCCAAAGGGCTTGGGTGGCCTCCAGCTCTGCCTCCTGCAGCTCGCACAGCCTGTCTTCTAGATGCCCCCATCCCATGGTACTGGCCTCTCCAAACCTGCTGGGGTCTTCTGCTGCAAGTGGACAGCACTGTCACCAAGAGCCTCTCTTCGCGGTGCCAAGTCTCAGCTTCTCTGCGTGACCCCTTCAGTCCTGGGCTGTCAACTGCCGCTGAGGCTGCACCTTCACCAGTGGCCTCTCCTGGCCTCTCACAGTGCCAGGCCTCAGCTGCTCTCCACGACGCCTTCATGCCTTCAAACCAGCACCACCCGTGAGACCCTTACACCACCGAGGACGGCTGCCAGCACCAGGTACGGCCTCAGTCAGTTCTGGAACACAGCTCTGTGTGTGGCCCTGAGGAAACGCCTCCCAGAGGATTTCACCTCAGTGCTGCCAGTCTCTTAGTCACTGCTAATATCTTAGCTCCAGCGGAGCAGCATCCATTGTGAAGGCTTCACTTCAGTGGGGCAGCCTCTCGGTGATCAAGGCCGACTCTTCAGCCCCAGCTGACCAGAACGACAGACTCTTCATTCAGAGTGGCAAAGGGCTCCAAGAGTCTTTGAAATGTTCTCTGAGACCTCACAAGGCAGGCCTCCATCTTCTGCACTGCCCTTGACATTGTCTTCCAAACATCTACAGAACATTCCGCTGAGCTCACAACACAACTTTTCTAGCCCAAAGTTCTAATGTCCTTCCACAATCCTCCCCCAAACATGGCAGGCCTGTCACAGGAACACCCCAACTATGCATGCTTGTCCCGGCTTCTGGGTTACTTAAAACCCGTAATGGAAAGTCAATAAATACTATACTAAGTTTAGGTACTAATGGTAAGACGTTTATGTATGTTTAGGACCAACACAATTCATTCTTTAATATCTTCAATTCATGGCTGGTTGATGAAGAGCCTACATTTCCTATTTATGCCCAATCCCCCACCCACCCATTTGACATTTATATAATGGAAAAAAAAATACTTACAGTGGCTTTCATGGACTATTTTCTTTCCAGTAAAACCAAGTGGTGCCCAAAGACCACCAGTATTCTAATTGACTGGCATAGTTATCCGAACAGCACAGCGCTGAGTTTTATTCATACCTGCAGAACCAGATACCCCAGAGCTAGCAATTTTTGCATACGAAACAATGCTGTGAGTCGCTCACGCCTCATGGAACTGGAGAAGTTGTTCTTAAAAATCAAAAGCTGTACCATTTTTTTTTTTTCATTTTGCTCCTCCCCCTGGGAAATTGTTGCTCAGCTCTAACAGCCAGTCGGCCTTCTGGGAAAATAGCTTTTTTCCTGATAGTGGGCTGCCCATACTTTCCTCTAGATATTTCTTTCAGTTGCCTTTCTGCATTCAGCAGTCCCCAAGGTTCCAAACTGCCAAAGGCTTTCGCTGTACACACATCTTAGCACCAACGATCTCGAGTCCCTCTGGGCTCTGAATGGATAGCAGCCATCTGTAGCAACACAGCACACTTTTTTTTCTTTTTTCCGCTTTGCTTTTTAAAGAGCTGGGAGACAACAGGAGGAGGAAGGGAGAGCATGGTTTTGGGGTTTTCTTGTTGACTGGGAAACCGCATGCTGGGGAGTCTTGAGAAGCTTGCCTAACAAGCAAATACAAATCATGGTCGGCCCTGGAGTCCCTGCTCGTCTGGCAGCAGCCACAGGGCTGCACATTTAGTGAGAGATTTCATGAGCCTGCGTTGTCGCTGTTCTTGTAACCGCTGCCTCTCGGGTGGGTCTTTACACACGGGGTCTTTGTTTTAGATAGAACCGACGTTTTGAGTTCAGCTTGCTCCATGAATCAACTCCTCTGTTTTCCCCAGAGGGAGAAGGAGCCACACATGGACAGAGTCATGTCTGTACTCGAACTCCTGAAGGATACAGACTCAAATCACCAGACACCAATGCCAGCGGCAGCAGCTTCTCAAGCAGTTTGTGGAAGGGGCCTAGTTACCAGGTGCTTCTCCCAGAGAGTTGCTATTGTAAATTAAATATAATACCCCGTGGAATCACACATCACAGGAAAGCCCTTGCGAGATAATGAAGTTCCATTTCCACAGATGCCTAAGCTGAGTGGAGACTTTTCCTGTTCCTCCCGTGCTAAGGAGACAACAACTCACTTCAGAATTTGTCTCCTCGGTTTCATTAAGGCTATTTATTATTTATAAGAACTTATAGATAGAACTCCAGAAAGAAGGGGAATATATGGGCAGTGCTTGGAAAGGCAGGCAGGCCAACCCAAAGTGCTCTATCTCTACCAGGAGTAAATGTGTGACGGGCATCAGGAAGAGCCGGGGAGATAAGTCACTTGTTGTATAGGAGTGTGCGTCACAGTTTAGGTCCCCAGAACCCACATAAAAGCTGACAGGTGTGACAGCTCCTTGCCATCCCTGCAGGGAAGCAGAGATGTGGGTTCCCAGGGCGGGGTTCAGCGACAGACCTTGTCTAAATTAATACAGGGGAAAGCCATCAAGAAAAACTTTGAAGGTGAACGTCAAGCCTCTGCATACTTGTACACGCGCATTTACTCACACATGTAAATATGCACACACACACACCACACATATAAACGTTAAAACATTTTATGAGGACTTCGCTTTATTATATACACTTGCAGAAATAAAGAATGTGAATAGAAATCTGGTGAAAGCCACCCCAAAAGCTTTATTCAAAAGAAAGAAAAATGGGAACTAGTAGAAATACATTCATAATAATTTATCAGCCTGCCTTTGGTGGGGAGAGGACCCTACTAGGAAGGGAAAGATGAATTGGGGTATCTTGGCTATTGCATAGATACATGGCTCTCTGCTGTTTTTGTCTTAGTCAGGGTTTCTGTTGCTGTAATAAAACTCTGTGGCCTAAAGCAACGTGAGGAGGAAAAGGTTTATTTCAGCTTACAAATCTCAGGTCACAGTCTATCACTGGGAAGTCAAGGCAAAAATTCAATCCTGGAACCCAGAAACAAGAACTGAAGCAGAGGCCTCAGAGGAAGGCTGTCTTACCCTGATTTATTATGGAACCCAGGGCCACCTGCCCAAGGATGGCACCGCCAACAGTGAGCTGGGCTCTCCCACCTCAAACAAGACCATATTGCACCCGTAGGCCAGTCTTAGTGGCATTTTCCCAACCAAGATTTCCCCTCCCCAGATATGTCTAGGTTCATGTCAAGTTGACAAAACCAACCAGAGCAATTTGCATGGTTATTACTGGCCATTCAAGGTGGGGTGGAGGGAATGACTGAAGGGTAAGAAGTTAGTCCATTTTTTTAAAAATTCTAGTAGTCTGTTCTCTAAATTCTACTATATGATTATATATATATATATATATATATATATATATATTATTCCATTTTATCTACTTTCAAATGACAATCCAACGTTCCTAACACCCTTCATAGAAGGTCTATACACCATCCTTAGTCAACTAAGACTCACACAAGGTTTCACACTGTGGCCGAGGCTGTCTCAGAACTCATGATTTAATCCCAAATTAAAAGGTCAGTTGAACAATTTGTTTCTTACGTGTATTCAGTTGAAGACTTTATCCCTGCTACATTCACATGCACTAAAATCAAAAGTCAAAACATCAAATTAGCAGGAGATTGTAGTGAAACACACATGTGATAAAAAGCAACTGGGAGCATTGTTTCCACCACATCAGGACGAATCTTTCAGCTGATCCACTTGGAAGTGAGAAGGGAGAAGCAACACCCACTCTAATTATATGGGATGGAGAGAAGCATGAGACCAAAGGCACATCTCCCCACCCCCAAGTTGAACTATCCAAAACTGACTCTGAAAGTGGAAATGGAAAATTCATTCACAACACTTCGCAGCTAGATAAATTGATAAACACTTTAAAAGGCCTGTAATCTGGTTGAAAGAGTTTTTGGGTTAAATTTCAGGATCCTATAAATTAATCCAAGCTCCTTGTTTTCGGGGAATCGTTCTCCCCCCCACCCCCGCCCCCGCCCCTAGGTCAGTGATGGTGTCCGTTATCATTCCTCAGAAATTATCCGTTCTGAGACCCCAGCTCCGGGGAATGAAGTCTGGAAATAATGACCCAGGGTAGCTGGAGTTTGTTTTGTAGACAAGGGCTCACTCTCGAGCTCTGGCTGGCCTCGAGTGATGCTCCTGCCTCAGTGTCCTGAGCATTGGGGTTATAGCTCTGAGCTATCACATCCGGACAGCTGCACCTTTGAAGGCGCTTGGCTAATGCCAAAGCATAGCCAAAAGTAGGGAGTCCCGCGGTGGGCTTCAGCAGGAGGCAGAAATTTTTCTCCAGGCGGGTAGGATGGAAGAACAGCGCTCTCCACTCCAGCTTGGAATGACACGGACAGGCCGGGAGCCTACCGCCTGGGCGTTTGCGCATCGGCTCAAGAAGCTGGTGCTCAGCCAGGTGAACGGTTCTCGCCGTCGCCTTTCCTCTCCGCGAGCGGCGAATGAGGCGTGGAAGCAGACGCCCCCGCCCCGTTTCTCTAATTCCATCACTGCTGTAGCCTGTAAACAAACCCTACGAGAAGGTGGGCGGCTTCCGGTGACGCGGTGGCATTTTTAATCCTAGCACCGGGCCGCGGAAAGGCCGTCCTGTTCCTGGCTGGAGGGTAGTGGCCTGCGCCGGGCGGGCACCTCCTCCGCCAGCCCCAGGCCTCGGCGCTTTCCCTAACAAGGTAGAACGGACCAGCCCGCGGTGACGTCAGCCCCGCGGCCCCACCCACCGAGCCACGGCCTGTCAGTCACGTGCGCTCTGCCTCTGCGCGCAGGTTCCTGAGGACCAGGCTCAGGCTCCTCCCTCCCGTCCGCCTTGGCCCCGCCCAGCTCGCCCCTGGGGGCGGGGCGGAGGCCGGAGGGGAGGAGCGCGCCTGCGCGGAGTAGAGCGGCGAGCCTGCCGTGGAGGGCCGGTCTGAGAGACTGGAGGCGAGATGCAGGTGAGTGTGGCGAGGCCGGGACCCCAAGGCTGAGGTCGTGTGGCCTGGTGGGCTCCCGCCAGACCCGGAGCCAGTCTACACGAATCACCCCGCTCGGCCCTCGGCGAGGAGGCCGCGCGAGAGGCCCGGCGCGTGCGCCCTCCGAGAGGGCGGGTGTGGTCTCCCCCTGCTCGCGGCTGGGTGCTCCTGCCGGCTCTGCCCTGCCCCGCACGTCTCTGTCCTTTGGGTCACCTGATCCTGGGGTCGTCCTTCTCCGAGCCTGGTGAAGGCCCCGACTCTTCTGCCGTCTACACTGACTCTTTACCCAACGCTAGCTTTACTTTGGAGTGCTTCCTGGATTCCAGATCTGAGCCCCAGGGCCCAGGACCATTGTTAATGTCTAAAATGAAGGAAGTCGGAACGCCTTAGGGTTTTTGTTGTTGCTACTGTTTTGATCTGGTATTTGCTGCTAGTGTTTGACAAAGGTTCAAAGAAAGTGCTAGGAAACACCATTAAAATAGCCTTTAAGAACCATCGTTTGTCACCAGCCCTTCTGTGTCGCTGTGTTTTAAGAATTCTGAAGGTTCTGGGTGGAGGGTGGATGGGGCATACAGTTGTGGGCTCCAGCTTGGGAGACAGGCGCTGGGGACCAGAGGGGGTGGCGCCCCAGCAAGCCGGCCACAAGCCAGGTACCCATGGAAGGTAAAGAGGATGCTCAGGAACTGCCCTGGACGCCTGAACTCTTGAGTCTTCAGGACTGTGTTTAAAAACGTCACTCTTCACGTTCTCTGGCCACCCAGCTGAAAGGAAACTTCACCTTCCTGTGCTCTGTCTCAGCCAGGTTGTGACACAGAATTAGACTGGAGCCCGGTTGTCCTTAAATTCATGTTCTGAACCACTTCAGAGCCCTGTTATCCTGCCAGGCTGTGCACCCCACAGTAACTGGGCATTTGGGTCCAGGTCTGAGACCACTGTGATCCTAGCTGGTTTGGCTAATGTCCTCCTGTATCTCTCTCCCATCCAAACACTAATCAGGCTTGGTCCTGCTTAGATTCTGACCCCAGAGGAGGTTGGGTAGATTCCTGCTGGTTTAGGCAGAGATGGCAGTGTCTTTCTGAATGCCACACCTTACCAACACAGGTGGGGGTGCCAAGAGTAGGCCTAGCAGTTAGTGTTAAACAAACATTAGCCATCATGAGTGACTCTGGGCTGGGCTGTGGGTCTGCTGTTCTCAGATTTATCCTGGAGACTCTGAGGCCTGCTGTTTAGAGGGGCCCAGCTTCAAGCACCAGTCTTTCCTGGTTTGTGCAGGCTTCGGCCTTGTCTTGTGACCATCTCAGGGTAGTCTTGCTGCTGAAGCTGAAGTTTGTAGGTTGCTGTCCAAGTGGGTGGCGGTCACTTCACAAGGAAGGAGGGCAGATAGGTGTGCACCCCTTTCAGAAACAGAGAAAGGGATGAGCAGGTTTACAACAGCATGAGCCGGGGTCTTAGTCAGAGTTACCATTGCTGTGGTGAAATCCCATTCACCAAAGGCAGCTTGGGAAGGAAAGGGTTAATTGAAGGCAGAATCTGTCATTGAAGGAAGTCAGGATAGGAACTCAAACAGGATAGGATCCTGGAGGCAGGACTTATTCTTATTATTATTGTTATTATTATTTATTCTTATATAACCCATTATTTCCTAAGTAAGCTTGTTAGTCACACTTAATTAAAGTGAAAGTTTGTCAGTTCCCTTTTCAATCTGGATGACTCCATTCCACCCTCACATAATTAAATGTCCTCTCTGGAGAGCATCTCTGTCAGCTGTGGTCCCTGTAACTCTAGACCAACAACCTGTTTGTCCTTGCACTTGACACAGCTTGTCCCGATAACAGTGTGTAGTTTGCGCATGTGCTCTTTATAGTCCACCTCTCCGTCCTGACTGTACCAAGTGATTTCTGTATCTGTCACGCACACTTGTACATCTGTCTTAGTTACTGCCCAGTTCAGTAATTTCCCTGCTGTGTTGTCTTTGCTGCAGAAAGGCTTTATTGCATCTTTCAGCTTCCAGGTTGCAGTTCATCACTGAGAGAAGTCGAGACAGGAACTCAGATGGGAACCGGGTGGCGGGTGTGGGGAGCAGAGAGCTCTGCAGGAATGCTCCTCCTGGTTCACTCCTCCTGGCTGGCTCTGTGTGCTTTCTCATGTGTATCAGGATCACCAGCCTCATGGTGGACCCAACCCACTCTCACATCTATCATCTCAAGAAGATGCCCCACAGGCTTACGTACATGCCAGTGTGATTGGGGCATTTTCTCATTTGATGCCTCCTCTTCTCACAAGACTCTAGTTTGTGCCAACTTGACCAAAAAACAAACCAACACAAGTCGGTACTTGGAATCTGTTGCAGGAACCATGCCACTGTGAGACCTTGGGAAAGTCGGGAATCTTCCTTGACCTCATAGCTAGGAGACTTCAGAGGCACCCTACGGCCCCACAGGCCATGTCTGTGTCAAATGATCAGATTTACTTTGGGTTAGGTCATAAAAATTCACTAGCGTTTTAAATAAAACGTGTGTAAGTTATGAATGGAAGGCAGGTCAGAGCCTTGCTTTCAGTTTTGATCTGCCCATCGGATCTTGACTTTTCTTTCACGCTGTCTCCCCAGGAAGACCTTAACAGGGTGGGTGATCTTTTCATATTCTCAGGAATTTAGCGGGAGCCCCTCCCTGCTCCCCACCTTTCCCGCTTGTCGATTTGTGCCTTCCCTCCTGGACTTTGCCCTCACCAGTTCCTTGTCTTTACTGGTACAGGACCCCAATGCAGACACCGAGTGGAATGACATCTTACGCAAAAAGGGCATCCTGCCCCCAAGGGAGAGCCTGAAGGAGCTGGAGAAGGCGGAAGAGGAGAAGGAGGAGGAGCTTCTCCAGCAGTCCGTGGGTGAGCTCCCTCGTCCTCTTCCTTTCTTCCGTGTCTGTCTGGCTTCGCACACCAACCGCCAGCTGCTGTAGTGGGGGGGCCTGTGGGTAAGGGCCGGGAGGCAGAGCTGGAGCACTGGCGTCAGCACCAGGAGTGCCTGGTGTGACCACAGAGCAGAGCGAGCCACCCTGCAGGCCGCCGTCCTAGTCTGTGTCACCCATGCACACGCCTTTCTGTGCTGAGCTTTAGTTTGGACGGGACCACAGACATGAAAGTCTCAGTGTTTGTGTTCTCTTGAGGCTGTACTTTATTCATCTTTGTGGACTGGTTAAGAATGTTGGCGTAGGGTAGCTCGCCTGGTTTGAGGAGGCATAAGTTGGTTGGGGTGCGTGGTCTCTGCGAGAGGGCTTCTCTTAAAGGGCTCACCGCCCTGGTCAGGTCCCCACTGTTGGTCCCAAGGTGCTCAGTGTGTGTGTGAGGCCAAGGCACGGGAAGGGCAGGTGGGCGCCTTCAGGGTTTCCCGCGCCTCCCAACGGGGAGGCGTTGATCAGAGGACTGGCACTTTTGCCCTCTCCACATGTGAACGCTCATGTAGAGGAGAATTTCCTAAGATGTGGCCAGCTTATTGAGTGGTTTTTGTGTTTTGGGTGTTATTCTGGGCAGTGGGGATTTAGTGGACCACAGGCTGGACAGAGGTCAGTGTGTTTATGTTTCAGCAGCAGCAGAAGGAAGAGGAATTAGGCTGGGAGGGTTAGGAAGGTTGCAGGATGGGATAGATGCTGTCATTCAGGCCAGAGGGGACCTCACTAATCAGGTGGAATTTGAGTAGACTTGAAGGAGGTGAGGTGAAGCTCCTTCAGCAAGTAGAGAGGTGGCCTGGGGTCCTCGATAGTCCACAGGAGGTCTTCCTGACAGGAAAAGCAGTAGAGTGTTCACAGAGGCCTCCAGGGGCCTGCCCACTTGGATCCTTAATCTTTTGGTAAGAGCCTAACTTTCTTCACATGAGGTGGAAGTTACTGGGGGTGGAAGCAGAATGGCGTGGCCTGTGTTTTAACAGCAGCCCCACCTTACTGAGTGTAGACATTGGCCGGTAGCGTGAAGCCAGCGAGCAGGGAGGCCATACTGAACTAACCCTGTAATTCAGAGAAGAGACACACATGGGGGCAGGGTGTGTGTGTGTGGAAGAGCTGCCCATGTTTCCAAAGAGGGCCGACAGAATTTGCGGACGATGCCAGTGACACGAGTGAAAGGGGAAAGGCAAGGAAGATGGCCTGGCTTGAGCAGTCTGAGGGGCAGAGGTGCCGTGGGCCGGGTAGAGAGGCCTACAGGCAGGTTAGCAACTGTTGAGGGTGCACAGGCTTGGAGGGTTTTTAGTTGAGTGTGTATATGTCTCTGTGTGGGTTTGTGTCTGTGTGAATACAGTCTGCAGAGTTCAGAAGAGCGCATTGGTACCTCTAGAGTGGGCAGTTGTGAGCAGCCTGACATGGGTGCTGGAAATTGAATCCTGGTCCTTCGGATGAGTAGCAATTTACTCTAACCACTGAGCCATCTCTCCAGCCCAACCTAGAGACTTTGAGTAGACAAATGGAGATGTCGGGCAGGGAGCGGGGCTTGTTTTTATTGAGTTAGAGGAGTCAGGGCTGGGAGTTGCCAGCATGTCCCTAGTGTTGTGGGCTAGGCTCACTTACCACTGGGGGAGAGGAGAAAAGGAGCCCAAGAACTGGGCCTGAGTCTTAATGAGAGGCGTGTTCACGGGTCAGGCATGGGCAGTCCTCATAGTAGGCAGCGGTGGCTCTCATGCGATGCTGGTCATCACTCATAAGAGGAGATTGCCTGACGTGATGCCAAGAGGCAAAAATATTTCCCACTTAAAAATAAGATGCAGACTTCCGTGCAGTTGACGTCAGCGAAAGAGCGCTGCCTGCCACTTTGAAGAAAACGCCAGTGGGAACAGCAGCACAGCGGGGCTGGCGTGGCGATTAGGAGCCCTCGCTCACCTGCAGGAGACCGGGTTTGGTCCTCGCGCCCATATGGTGGCTCGTAACCGCCTGTAACTCCAGTTCCAGGAAATGCGGCACCCTGCTCCGGCTTCTGAGGGCGTTAGGCGTGCCTGTGGTGAATATGTGTGTGCCTGCAGACACAGCACTCACATACGAATAAATATCAAACTTCTCGTTGTGAGGTGCAGTTCACTGTGTCGCCCTGGGTGGCCTAGAACTCCCTAGGCCGACCAGCTGGCTGCCCTCCGATTCAGCATGGCAGCTGCCTCTGCCCCACAGTGCCGGGATCAAAGGTGTGCAGAACCGCTCCTGACAACGACTAAATCTTACAGAAAGACCGAGAAGGATGTGACCATCTGTAGGAAAGATGAGCTTGCACATAGAGGACCCAGTGTCCTCCCTGCCAGAGAAGGACCTGTGAGAGCCACAGTCTTGGTTTTCCCTGAGTGAGTTTATGAAGTGTGCAGCAAGCCAGAGTGAAAGAATAAATAGCAGGTCCTCGGCAGGCAGAAACATTGTTGAGTTGGGCGCATCCAGCAGAAATCAGCTGGGAAGAGAGCTTCCTGGGGGCATCTGGGTGTCTGCCCAGGTGAGGCTCCCCGTTAAAGGGATGAACTTCAGCCACAGAGATGGCCTCTTCACGTCGGGTGCTCAGTGTTCGGCGGAAGCCAGCGAGGAAGGCAGGGCACCAGCGGGAGTTCCCAGCTGAGCCCTCTCCCCACGGCTTCTGGGTTCTCTCTCCCACTGTAGCACCTTGGAATCGTGGGACAAACCAGCGATTCTCAGCCGCAGGAGTCCGGTGACCCTCTCGCAGGGGTCGCATCATATCCTGCATAGATTTTTACGTTATGATTCACAACAGTGGCAAAACTACAGTGACGAATTATCACTGAAAACTTACCCAGGGGGTCACCACCACACGAGGCGGCAGTGCCAGGAAGGCTGAGGACCGCCGGGACAGACAGCAGTAACGTCTGTGGGGAGCCTTCGCCACCTGGCTGTTCTGGAGGATGCACACTCGGGGACCAGCCTGTCCCACACAGGGGCTGTGGAGGACAACTGAAGACAAACATGCTGGGTGTGGAATTGGCGGGGGGCGACCGCACGTCTACAGCCGGCCTCCTCGAGCTCACACAGGGCAGCTTAGGGCACCGCGCACGCTGCAGGAGATGTGAGGTGTGTGAGGACACCCGCCTGCCGTGTCCACGAAGACCGAGCAGGTGGCTTCAGGCAAACGTGCCTCCTGTCTCCCTTGCATCGTGACTGAGTAGCATGACGGGAAGAAGGGCGTGGCAGGTCTGATCTCAACTGCAGTGTGCTCTTCGCCGCCGTGGGCTGGGGCCTTTGGGCTTGTGTGCACATATAGGAGGGAAGGGGGCACTAGTGTGTGTTTGCTCATCTTCTCCCTGTTATGCTTCCACCAATGAAACAAAACCCAGTGAAGACCTATGAGGACATGACTCTGGAGGAGCTGGAGGAGAATGAGGACGAGTTCAGCGAGGAGGACGAGCGCGCCCTGGAGATGTACCGGTCAGTGCCCGGGAGAGTGCTGGGGAGGGCAGAACGTGACGGGCGGGGTGGGGGGGGCACAGCTCTCAGAGCTGCTCTGAGACTTCTGCTCTGCGGCACTCAGTACGCCTGGCTTCCAGGGCTCTCTTCCGGAAGGTGGGCGTGCAAGTGAGCGGACAGGTGTGTGTCTGTGTTTAAGGCTTCCTGTTGTGCAGTCGTGAGGACGGGTGTGCGTCTGTGTTTAAGGCTTCCTCCTGTTGTGCAGGCAGCAGCGGCTGGCTGAGTGGAAAGCAGCCCAGATGAAGAACAGGTTTGGAGAAGTTCTGGAGATCTCGGGGAAGGACTATGTCCAGGAAGTGACGAGAGCCGGCGAGGGCCTGTGGGTGGTCCTGCACCTGTACAAGCCAGGGTGAGCCGACTGACCATCCGTGACAGGGGCCTGTGGAGCAGCTTTTGGGTCTGGTTTAATCTGCCTTTGTGCTCTGTGTCTTTGTAGCTGATTGGCCCAAACCTTAATGCTCAGTGTTCATCTTAAAACTTTTAAGTTAGTGTTTGTGCGTGCTCTACTGGAAGCAGGGGACAGGACTTACATTTCCTGTATTAAGAAAGAATTTTGTCGAGTGTAGTAGCACATTCCGGCAGTGCCAGCATGAGAGGCTGAGGCCATAGAACCGTGACAGAGTTCAAGACTAGCCTGGGCTACACGGTAAGACCTGGATCTTAAAAAAGGATGACAAGTTGGCCTCAGTTGTCCCTTTAGAGGAATTGTACTTCAGAAACCAGAGTGACTGTACTGCTGGGGGCCGGGTGGGGATGCGTGTGTAGAAACCGCCTTAAGGCAGGGCGCTCCGGCCTGTTCCACAGGCATCGGGTGTTCTTGTCAGTGTTTTCTAAGCAGCCCTCACAGAGACACAGCTGGTCAAGATGTCAGCGCTGTCTTCCCAGACTTCCTGTGACACTGAGTTGAATTTAGATCCGATCACCCCTTTCCCCGAGTACACCAGCATGGATTTTCCTGAGGAGAAGTGAAGTCACCGCGGGCAGAGGCTGGGCCCTCCGAGGGCTCCTGTCAGCGAGGGCCGTGTCACTCAGCTGTCTTCTCCTGTGTGCCCCAGGATCCCGCTCTGCTCCCTGATAAACCAGCACCTGAGCGGGCTGGCCGCCAAGTTCCCTGACGTGAAATTCATCAAGGCCATCTCCACCACCTGTATCCCCAACTACCCTGACCGGAACCTGCCCACAGTGTTCGTGTACCTGGAAGGTGACATCAGGGCACAGTTCATCGGCCCGCTGGTGTTCGGGGGCATGAACCTGACGAGGGATGGTGAGGACGGTGGGGTGCTGTGGGGGGGGAGGGGCATCAGTGTCCCCACAGCGCTTGCTCACAGGTGTATTTGCATTTCTCTGTAGCCTTAGTCGGCCCTGTGGGTTTTAATTTCAGATTCAGTTAATGCTGCCTCTTAACCTGGAAGGATACTTTCTTATCCTTTCACACCTGCTGCTCCCCGGGGGTGTTAACATACGTGTGACCTGTGACATGGAATCTGACATTCTCTATCTCTTTATAATGTGTCAATCACTTTACTTTTCAGCAAAAATGTACTTTTAAAAGTGGTTTTGTGTACTCTGACGCTCACTTGTTGAGCGTGGAAAAATGCGCAGATACACAGACATGTCAGGGGTGGTCCGGAGCTCAGAGGCGTGCAGTATTACAGACTAGTTCACAGCGGACGCCATCGTCCTGGTGGGCTGGAAGGGGCGGGGACTGCCGGAGGCCGTTGTCTCCTGTTGAAGCGGAAGCTGCCTGAGTGTGACACCCACTCTTAGTTCTGCAGGCTGGAGTGCAGGCCTTGGCGTCTGGCAAAAGCTGTTGTGTCACTATGGAGACGGGACGGCACACATACAAGGAGGAAGCATGACAGACTCACAGGAGGTGCCACACTTGCTGTGCAGTGAACCCAGGCTGTCAAGTAACTAGAGACCCGCCCGCCTCTGCCTCCTAAGGGCAGGGTCAAAGGTGTGCGCCACCACACCACTGCAAGCCGCGCTCTTAACCAGTCTACTGTAGTGAGAAAGACAGGAGTTTCCCTCAGCAATGCCGCAGCTCCACACTCTCCTGTAGGGACAGCCAGAGTGGTCAGGAGTTCTGGTGAGGCACACCCATGTGTAACTGGCAGCTCTGGTGAGGCACACCAGCTGACTACCAGGCAGAGCTGCTGCTGTCTATTTCCAGAAGAGTTCTTACTTGAGGGTTAGTGTGAAGACTTTAGTCTGTGTAAAGACTGTAGGTAAATAGTAGTGTTAAATGCACGTGTGTGGACTTATGAGCCCTCCTGGCCCTCTCTCAGTGGTGACAGTATCACATCTCCCTGCTAAGCGTGCTTTGGGTATGTGGCACATCCTTCCCTGCTCACCGGGCTGCCCTCAGGCCCCAGAGGTTTGCATGTGACAGTGTGGCTTCACCTCCAGCCGCCTGGCTTCTGCCTCGGGAGGATCTGAAGTCTGACAAATGCAAGGTGCAGTAGGCTGCAGGGTCCCCAAGGCATGTGGCACTCCTCCCAACCCCCGCCCTTCATTATGTGACCTCTTTCCCACGCTCTCCCACTCTGACAGCGGAACCTGAATACAGAGCCGAAGTTCAGGCACCCGGGCTTCACTTCATGTTATTTAGTTTTTGTTTGAACTACACGAATGCACTGTCTTGAGTGTCTCAGATCCGAATCATGAAGCTGAAAACTTCTTCGGTTGGTTAACAGAGGTCTCGGGTTAGGTTCAGCCGGCGTGCAGAGTTTCCTCTGCCGGCCTGATGGAAACGCCAAGTGTACACTTGGCCCACGTGCTGTTCGTGTCTCACTGGAGTTCTCACGCATGTTCAAGTTCATGCGCTATTCACTTCACTTGGCCATATTTGAAACAGCGTGCCAAAGTGTTTTCAATTTTCCCTCCAAAGAGGCTTTTTCTTTTCCTCCTTTCTCTCTTTCCCACTTTAGACCTGGCATTAAAATGGTCACTGAATTTCGAAGGTCATGTTTGTGTATGACTGAGGGAAGATTGAAACTGTTGCTGGGCTTGGGTGGAGACCGCTCTGATGGGACCTGGCTCCTTATATGGCACTTTCCTCTTGTCACCAGAGTTGGAGTGGAAGCTGTCGGAGTCAGGAGCAATCAAGACCGACCTGGAGGAGAACCCCAAGAAGCCCATCGAAGACGTTCTGCTGTCCTCAGTGCGAGGCCCTGTCCCCACGAGGAGGGACAGTGATTCCGAGGACGACTAAGACTGCAGCTGAGGAGGAGCTCTTTGAACTTTCTTGATACGACACATTATCTGGATTTTTAATAAGGAGGAAAAAGCAAAAATTTATCATCTTGGTAACTTTTTTATAATTATTTAAATTTTATACATTTCAGAAATAATCATTGCTGGAAATTTTTTTTAATTTCCTTGGGACTCTTTTTAAATTAATAATGTTTCTCTAAGAAAAATTTAAACAAGCTATTAAGTCAAATATCTATGTTTTCCTACATGTATTTCAGCAAACCAGGAGACTGTTCAGTGTTTTTTGATGTGTAGCTATATAGAAAGGAATATGGAGTTTAAAAAATGACATGAATAAATTAAATAAACTATTTAAAAATAACTGTAGAAAATGAGAACTCAGCTTGATTAGTTAGGTTGTGTGTTTTTGGTTTATAAAGCTAGCAAAAGAAGTATCGGTGAAAGAAATGGCTGATAATAGTTTTGAGACAAATACTATTTTTTCAGATTAGCTGACAGGTTTCAACTCTGTGCCATGTGTGTTTTCAGTTAGGTCTCCTGGTTACACTTAGGTGTGTCTCAGGCTGCTAGACACCAGCCATTGCTTGTGGTGCTGCACACCCAAAATTCCAGCGCTGGGAGGCAGGGCCAGGCAGCCTCTGGGAGTTCAAGGCCAGCTTGGTGTGCAAAGTTCCAAGCTAGCCAGGGCCCCATCATCAAGACCCCCAAACAAAAACAGAACACATAAGATGAGATGAGCTGTTCTTGGCTGTCAGGCCCTGTTAGATTTGTTTCCTGAGAATAGGGTGTAAGCACATGCATGCGCACGCACACACACACATATAAGAGTACTATCAGTTGATTTATAAAAAAAATTTGATGTTTTCTGAGCCAGAGTTCTCTAAGTTGACATTGGTGACAGAAAAATGTTTATAATATTTTTGTTATATGATGTAGCAAAATAGCTAATTGGAATCTTAGAGACAAGAGTCTAAGAATACAGGGTTTGTTCAGATTATGTTGTAAAATTTGTCTTTTGTTGTTGTCTAAAGACTGACAGGGAACGGGGACCCACTCCATATGTGAGGATGCCGTGTTTTCTCTTATGTCAGGGTCGTGCTGCTGAACCCAAGCGCCTTTTGGTGTGGCTCCCTTGCCAAGCTCGGAAGTTTTGACAGCAAGGGTGGAGTGACAGCAGGAGCTTCGCTGCTTGTAACACTCCCACCTGCCTTGGACTGTCTGTGGCAGCTGATGGCTGAGAAGTTCAGCGCTGTGTTTGCCTTAGAGCAGTGGATCTCAGCCTGTGGCTCGTGACCCTCCTGGGGGTGTAAATCAGATATTTACAGTATGATCATAACAATAGCAAAATTACAGTTCTGAAGTAGCAGCGAAGATAGTTTTATGGCTGGGGTCACAACATGAGGACCTGTATGAGGGCCACAGCATTAGGAAGGTTGAGAGCCACTCCACTGCCTTAGAGCCTGAATTTTTTTTTTTTTTTTTAATATATTTCCTTTATCAAGGGTGGCAAACAAAAAGAGCAAACATGTAAAAACACAGGGTGCTGAAAATACAAACTCAATTCAGACTTGGGCTCATCCAGACCCTGGTCATGAACCCAGTCAGGGAATAGGACAGGAGTGAATTGGAGGCCAAGAGAAAGGGTGAGAAGAGGATCTGTGTCTGTCTCCCCATGTTCAGCATGACAGTGGTATCTCCATCTTCCCAACGACTGAAGATCTGCCAGGCCCTGCCCTCTTGTTTGTACCCTCACCCTAGCCAGATCTTGAAGGCCAATGGCAGTTGGTTCTCTCGTCCCTTAGTCAATCCTCACTTGCTCCGGCTTCTGGCCTTAATTCTTTTCCTCCATGATTAATAGCAAGTTAGGTGCTGTAGAAAGCCACAGTGAGGCTGAGGCCCAGAAGAGTTGGGTGAAGATGAGGGAGGAGCGCTCCCAGGACCCCTCTCTTCAGGGGACCCCAAATTGTACAACCAGCTCTTCTTTCACGTCCACCCAGATCTGAGAAAGTAAACTGTAGGCAGAAGCAGCTCTCTTGGTTTGCTGGCCAGCACTTGGTGAGGCTGACTGGAGAGAGATGGCAGCGGTGGCAGCTTTTCCCAGTAGGTCAGACTGCTGCTAAGCACTGCCAAGCGGGTGCTGTATTGCCTCGCCTGGTCCTGTACTCATGCTGCTCCGTGCCCTGGGGGTCTGTGGCAGACACATCAAGGATGTTGCTAGCTGTCTTGGCAAGGATGGAGGAGAGCAGGGCCTGCTCATCTGTGTGAGCCGAGGTAGGCTGTGAGGGTTGGGCTTGGCTCCATTGGGGGCTTTGGTAGGGATGCCGGGGTCCAGCAACTGCTTTCTCTCCTCCCCATCCTGGTCTGAGTCCTTGTTTTCCACCGCTGTAGCAGCACCCCATGGCCTAGAGCCATGCACAGTAGAGGGAGCTGCAGCTCTGGCTCTCTGAGGAGCTCAGCCAGGACCTTATTCTAATAGTCACCGTAGCACTTTGATCTAAATGTGGCTGCTGCCTCCATGCCAGATAGGACCTTGTTGACTGATACGGTGACAGCAACAGTCCTGGTGCCTGTGGCTCTGGCCAGTGAGCCCCCCCTACTCACACTGTGCTGGTGCTCAGGCATCAGTGGCATCTGTCTGCACTTGCTCTAGAGGACCAGTAGCATCTTCATCCTAAACTGGGGGGGTTGGAGCTGGAGCCTGAGCTGCTAGTGACTGTAGCTTAGCTAGTTCCGGGTGTGTGTTTGTGAGGGACGCATGCCCTGTGGTATTTGCCACTCCTACCGTCTGCTCCTTTGCAGCCTGCAGGTGTGACAGAGGTGACGAGACTTGGCTCTTTCTTGTTTTTTGGCATCTTTAACTTGTTCTCTTCACTGACATGCGTGTGTTGGCCTGTGTGAGTTTACATGCATCACATGGGTGCAAGAGTGCACAGAGGCGCTGGATCCTCTGGATCTGGAGTCACTGACAGTTGTGAACTGCCGTGTGGATGCTGAGGGCCAAACCCACGTTCACTGCAAGAGCCGAAAGTGCTTTTGGCTTTTGGCCACCGAGCCATCTCCCCAGCCCAGCAACGTGGAGTTCATCTGATCACACAGCAAGAGGTGCCGATGAGTCTGGAGGACCCCATCATTAAAGAAAGCACAAACCACTCGGCGACAGAGAAGGAGTACTCAAGCTGCAGCTACGGACGTGTCTCTGGACGGCTCGCCCTGGAGCGACAGGAGCGACATGGTAAGTCTGAGGCTGGACTCATGGGCCGCGCTGATAGACACTGAGTGAAGTGTGGCGGGGGAGGACAGCAATTCCCACAAAGAATCCCAAGCAGCTCAGTGTAGATTCCTAACCCCAAGGCATTCCATTCTCAAAGTGGGGTCTCCAGAGTGCAGTGTGTGTGTGTGTGTGTGTGTGTGTGTGTGTGTGTGTGTGTGTGTGTGTGTGTGTAGAGGGGTGAGGTCAAAGGTCAAAGTCAGGGACAAGCCAGGTTGACAGCGGCCCTGTTCATGACATGATGGAAAGGGCACCGCACCTCTAATCATCCATCCTAACACTTACAATCAAGACACAACCACAACAAATCTCAGCAGAATAACTGTCTGGAACTGTCAGGAAGATTCTGTAAAATAGGTCACTGGAACTCTTGAAACTGTCCTCAGACTCAGGAGAATCTGAGAAACTGCTACAGCCAAGAGACATGCATGGAGCATGGCTGCTCCATGGGGTGAGTCCTGTGTGGGGTCCCGGGACAGAAACAGATTATTAGGTAAAACGAGATTCCATTGATTCCAATATTGAGAAGGATATGGAAGGACAGACATCAGTTAAGAAGCTGAGGCACAAGACTCTCTGTTGGCTTCCTGATTAAACGACACTAAACGCTCATTTTAAAATACAGCGGCTCATGACTCACATCACAAATGGAGACTGACTCGGGTGGGGAAGCGCTCAGTTCGTGACTGCCCCGGGTCTGTAAGGATTTGTTGTCACTAAAGGGCTACCTAAGTCTGAGTTTTGACCTGCCCCAAGGCAGGGCCTGAGCCAGCACCTGTGCAGTGTGGGGAGCTGCAGAAGAGACATCTGAGAGAGGAAGGCAGGGTGAGGTGAGGAAGCTCCAGGGCAGGGCTGGGCTGGAGGAGAGGCAATCAGCAGATAGCGGGGGCATGTTCCGGTGTCAGCCACCCACATATGGGGACTTCCGTTGTGGGTCCCCCGCTCCTGGCTCCCTTGGGTGAGGGCTGCTGTCAGGACGTTAACTGCATATCTTTGCTGCAGAGCGAGTGTCTGTGCCTTGCAGGAAGACCACAGATGCTGTGCTTGCAACATGGGTCTGAGCTTGTGTGCTCCTGGTTCTACTCTGCTCAGTTAGAAATTGCTTACGTATCCAGAAATAGATTTTTGTTATTTATCTTTCCTGTGCACATATTCAAAGGAAAGCAAGCGAAAGGAACTGGGTACAGCACTTTCCTTTATTTTTATCCTCTCATAAATTACATTTCGACCACAGTTTGCACCCCCAACTCCTCCCTGTCTCTCCCCCTGCTTCCCTTCTCCCCAGATCCATCTCTTTTCCTTCTGGAAAGAGCAGGCCTCCCAGGGTTATCAGCTGGACATGGTGTAACAAGCTACAACAAAACCAGGTACAACCTTCGTATCAAGGCTGGGCAAGGCAACCCAGGAGGAGAAAAAGGGTCCCAAGCACAGGCAAAAGAGTCGGAGACAGCCCTTGCTCTGTTAGGAGTTCCACCAAGCCACAAACCATCACGTATATGCTGAGGACCTAGCTCAGACCCATGCAGGCTCCCTGATTGTCAGTTCAGTCCCTGTGAGGCCCATGACTCCAGGTTAATTGATTCTGTGGGTTTTCTTGTGGTGCCCTTGACCCCTCTGCTCCTATCTTCCCCTCCTCCCTTCTGTAGGATTCCCTAAGCTCTGCCTAATATTTGGCCGTGGATCTCTGGATCTGTTTCCATCAGTTACTAGACAAAGCCTCTGATGACAATTGTGCTAGGCTCTACAAGTGTAGCAGAGTATCATTAGGAAACATCTTAATGACACCCCTCCCTCCCAGTCTTGTTTGGTTTTGTCCTGGGGCTCTGGGCCATCCAGCCTGTGATCATCCAGGCAACGTCAGGCATGGGCTCTCTCTTGTGGTTTGGGCCTCAAGTTGAACCAGTCGTTGGTCGGTCACTCCCACAGGTACCGTGACCGTCGTCACCCCAGCATGTCTTGCAGGCAGGACAAGAGTGTAAGTGGAAAGTGGCTGGGTTGATGTCCCAGCCCCATTGCTGGAAGCCATGCCTGTTTAGAGAGGATGGCAGGTTCAGGCTCCGTATCCCTGTTACTGGGTGGCTTCTCAAGGGTCA